ATCCATATTCACCGGACTGAAGGCCGTGAAGTGTCGTGGAAAGAACAAAAAGAGGTAAGCTGCCAATGCAGCTATGGAAATAGGTGTGGATGCTGTCTCTGGATGGAACCCATCGGTGTCTGTTAGGCGAGTAGCAGTAGCGATGGCTTTGCAGACATGGTGTTGCTTGGATGAAGTTAGGAAAAGGGGACAGTCGTCGTGGGGTACCGTCATGCTGTGCGATCGTGTTAATTGAAGCGAAGCTGCAGTGACTCGGGGAAACCACTAGATCTTGTCAGAGCTCGATAAGTTGGTCAGATGAGCCAACAAGGGCAATCATGGGCATTGCTTGTTTCCTATACTATTTTGGACGCGTTACGGTACCGACAATAAATAGCACTTGCCATGATAGCTTTCGGGTGAGAGGCGGTGGTCCGTGCATGTATCTCTCGGTGAGGGACTTACTCACCTTGGAGCTGTGGCTAAAGAGGGGCGCCGAGGTACTTCGTACCATGTTGAGGTGAATGCGGGCAGCCACCTCTCCCGACATCAAGCACATACGCATCCATCCGTACCCGTGCCAAAAAGCCCACGATATATTATTCTCATCAGTACCTTACCTACTGGATTCCATTTTACACTGTATTCCAGGATAAAACCTCTAATCGGTCCAGGAATACATCTCCGCCACTATTCAATTCTCGGCCTCGGTCGCCTCGACGACAACCCTTGATCGCCCAGGATTCACCGTCCTCTTGAGAGCAGCGTCGCTAGAAAATAAGGGAGTCCAGGTCTTGTAGGTCACTGCTAGCGACACAATTGAGCGGCTTGTATCTTAACTAATGCCTCTACCAGCCCTGTGCTTATCAGTTCGTGGTGTATCGACCTGTTGCGAGCCGGGCATCTCCAGCCCCAAAGGACTTGTCAGTTGCTGTTGTCCTTCGCTTCACTAAAGCGAGGGCTTGACTTCAAACCAAATCAGTCATGGAAGTGAGTCTTCATGCATCAGTTTCTTTCATCACTTTGTCCAAGAGCTCCCATCTCTCGCGAATATCTTGTGTGTTTCTTGTCTCGGCTAGCGATCCTATCACGAATGTCGGCCCTGCGGAAAGTTCCACAAGATCAATATCGGGTTCCTGGTTCTGCCATGCTTGCAACACCGTTGGATGAGCACTTCTCGTGAGAACACCAATCCAGTGCCTGCTCCGACCTCCCGGACCGCTGTTGGTGGCCGCGTGTTTTTAGCATGGTGGCAGCTAGTGGCCCAAGCAAGTGTTCAGGATGAGGAACCGGGCTTCACACTGAGTCACTCCACTGCCTCGTTGAGCCACGTCCGACCTATGGCTCCTGTATCACCTCGCTGTTGACGTTTCCCGTGGTCTCGTGTCGAGTATACGCAACCTCACTTTGGAAGCCATGACTTGCACGCTGCCACACGGAGAGCCGCGTCGGTTGTCCACTGCGCGGATCTGTCTATCACATGTCCCTGTCCGTGTAGGACTCCAAACTCTTGCTCCTCTCTGACACAGATCTCTGCGTATCCCGAACACTCGGAACACAGCCAAGCTTCTGGGAAAGTTTTCCGAACACCGACAGGACCGCAGTAACTTTCCGTGATTTTTACACAAACACCCTATGACGAAGCCCTCCTTCCTCCGCGAGTGCTTCGGAAACGTCTGATATGAGACCGCGTGATTCCATGTCACACACTATTCTGCTCCATCGATGCTTGGTCGGACCGCTTCGGGCCTATATCTCTCCTCTCTCCGGGCCGATTGTGCTTGATGGCCTCAGTCTCCCCATGGCTTCCTCTCTGTCAAGAAGCAATAGCCAGGGCGCTATTTCAGGCCCAGGTTCTTCACCTCGCCGTCGCGGCTTGTACATCAGTCCAGCGACCGTAAAACTAAACAATCTTTTCGAACAGAACCGACAACGACAACAAAAGCAAGATGGCTCCAAGGCTCAAGAGCCAGCCACTAACCCACAGGGCAAAGGCAAACCCCGTCTCTTATTAATGGGCCAGCGAAGGTATGAATGCACACTATTCTTGGGTCTTGCGTAGTTCTAACATACTGTGCAGGAGTGGCAAGTCGTCTATATCTAGTGTGGTCTTCCATAAGCTCCCACCGAACGAGACACTGTACCTCGAATCCACAGCCCGGATACAGAAAGATAGCTTGAAGTAAGGATCCTCATATACATCCTATCTTGTAGTCATGCTAACAGGTGTGAAGCTCATTTATGGATTTTCAAGTCTGGGACTTTCCAGGCCAGATCGACATATTTGACAATCCTAACTTCGCATTTGACATGGATGCCATCTTCGGCGAAGTTGGGGCTCTGATATGGGTAATCGACGCACAAGACGACTATCTCGAGGCAGTTGCGAAACTCAACTCTACGATCCTACACCTCCAGCGGAGCTATCCGCACATCATCATAGAAGTCTTCATCCACAAGGTTGACGGCCTCTCGGACGACTACAAACTGGACATTCAGCGCGACGTGACAATAAGAATTCAGGACGAGCTGTCTGACCAGGGACTCGAGAATGCGTCCATTAGTTTTCACCTGACGAGCATATACAACCACAGCATCTTCGAAGCATTCAGCAAAGTCATCCAGAAGCTCATCCCGCGCCTAGGCCAGCTAGAAGCTATGCTTACCTCGCTGTGCCGGACATGCCGCTTCGACAAGGCGTATCTGTTTGACGTCAACACCAAAATCTACATCGCTACCGACAGCTCTCCGGAGGATGTGGCAAGCTACGAGATCTGCTCCGACTACGTGGACGTCATAATAGACTTCACCGAGGTGTACGGCAGCTGGGAACGGGGACCTGGTAGGCGCGAGCGCCTGGAGCAGGCACCGTGGCCGAAGAAGCTGGACGACCAGATAGGCTGCGACCTGGCAGAGAGCGGTATGGTGCTTTCCGATGCCCAACGGCCAATCATGCTCCGAGAGGTTGACAGGTTTCTGGCTCTGGTGGCTATCATGAAGGAGGGATCATACGACAAGATACCGCTCATCAACCTGAACGTCGACGAAGTTGTGAAGGGACTGACAGAGTTCTTCGAGATTACGAAGCATAGGGAGACGAGGCTGGGAGGAAAGGATGATCCAGGCGAGGGACAGTTGGCTATCGGCAGTTGAAGGAGCCATGTAACAGTATCACCTTGACGCGATGCGTCTGTCAGCGACAGCGTCGAGCTTAACTAGCAATTATCGTCATTCAGCCAAAATCCATACAGCGCATGCCAATACACATAATCAGGCGCAGACGATTCGGTCTAGAGTGAACTGCTACAGAAGTGTGCGACTATCATGTCAACCCCCACGTGCGCTCGATTCGGAAATCAACAGGTATGGCTCTCGTTCCCTTGTTACCCCACTCGGTATTAAACCGTCCGTCCTTTCATCTACCTTAACATCATGTCGCAAGGCTCAAAACCTGGACCGGTGGTATTCTCAGCAGATGTCTTTCTTCACAAGATGGCCACTGTATCAATCTTCTGAGGACAAGATGGTCTCGGTGCAAGGGTTCATACTAGTCACGTCACCTCACCTCTAACCACCAACCATGGCACTCTCAGTCACAGCCTCGCTCCTCTTCGCCTTGATAACGGCCTACTCACTCATCTCCCTCCTAACAACCACTCTCCCACCCAACACCAAACCTCCTCCCCCAACCCCATCCCAACCACCACTCACCCTCTCCCCCTCCCACACCTTCAAGCTAGCCCTCTTCTCAGACCTGCACTACGGCGAACAAGAGTCAAGCTGGGGCATCGACCAAGACGCCAACTCAACCCGCCTCCTCCACCACATCCTCTCGGCCGAAAACCCAGACCTAGCAGTCCTCAACGGCGACCTGATAACGGGCGAGAACACCTTCCGCCACAACAGCAGCGCCTACGTGCACCGCATCGTGGCGCCCATGGTCGACACGCAAACGCCCTGGGCGTCGACGTACGGGAACCACGACTCCAAGGCTAACCTGAGGAGGGAGGATATGTTGCGCGTGGAGAGGGGGTATGGGGCGCTGTCTTATACGCGGACGACGGCGGGGTTGGAGGGGATTACGAATTATTACCTGTTGATATATCGTCCGGGGAGGAGGAAGGGGAGGCCGGTCGGTGTGTTGTGGTTCTTCGACTCGCGCGGAGGGGGGAGTTACGGGGGCGGTTCAGGTCCGGCTGACGAGGAGGACGATATACCGAATTGGGTTGGGCCCGGGACGGCGCGGTGGTTTCGCGACGAGGCGAGCGCGCTAAGGGCTAGGTATGGAGGTGTGCTACTGCCGAGTGTGGCGTTTGTGCATATCCCGCCGACGGTGTTTCTGGCGGCTCAGAGGCGGGGCATCGATCCCGCGCTGTTTCCGGGCGTGAACGAGGATGTGCCTGTTGCTGCGCAGGGGACGGGGAGGGAAGACGGGGGGTTTGTGGATGTGTTGCGGGAGGAGCGGATACGGGGTGGTCTGCATAGTGTGTTTGTCGGACATGATCATGGGAATGCTTGGTGTGCGCTGTGGCCTGGGGATGGAGAGGATGAGACGGGCGGGAGGGGACCGTTCCTCTGCTTTGGCAGACATACTGGGTACGGCGGCTACGGGGACTGGACTCGGGGGTCGCGAATAGTGCGGCTGAGGTTCGGGGATGAGAAGGGTGATGGCAGTGCCGACGAGATGGAGGTCGAGACGTGGGTGAGGATGGAGGGTGGGCAGGTCGTCACGCGAGTTATGTTGAACCAGACGTACGGGAGGGATAGGTATCCGACTGCGAACGGGGAATTCCACGAGTGATGAGATTGGACTGATTCTCTTTGTTTCCGATGGTGCCATAACACGACAGCATCACCTGGTTTGGCCTTCTAGTCTGGCATCTTGCGACATTTTGGTGGAGGCATACACGACAGCACAGCATGACTAGGGCGGAATTCATACGGATTCCCCCCTAAAGACATATACGACAAACCTGGTATGCGCATGCCAAAACAGAAAGGACAAAACTACTCGATTTTTACTCCGGTACGGGGAATCGAACCCCGAGCCCCGCGGATGCTTGGACACTTATAGTGTCTTGAAAACGCGATATGTTGACCGTTACACTATACCGGATGCTGTTTGCATGCATCGATAGAGCACTAGAGCCGTAGGCGTCCTTAGGGGCTCCAGCGGACGCGGACTCATAGGCGGGATGGATACGTACTCGTCCAGTCGCTGAGTCGGAGAGCGAGGACCGACTCGCGACTACACTAGAGTGCGTATCAGTGGGCCGCTGCGGGCGGGAATCAGACGAGATCCGCTCTTAGGGAGTCCACTGTGGAATAGCTGAGACGAACCCATTCTCGAGGAGTCATATATTGGCATGTGATTTCATGTCGTTGAGCCAACCGGCATTGTCTTAGCCAAGACAGCGGGACCCTCAGCAGTGAAGGCTTGTCGGTGGTACAACACGAGCCTTCATAGAGAGGAAACAGGTCGCGAAGATAGGAGAAGAGGCGTTTAGGGATTATGATACCATTAATTATTATCCAACCGTCTATCATCTATGATCTAAGTCTATATCCGAAACCTCCCAGGGTATGCCAAAAGGAACGTGGTATAATGAACGCCATTCGATGCAATGCAATGATCATCCCAATGCAGCCCAACAGAGACCGCTTCAAATGCAAGAATCCGCACCAGCCACCGTTTCGATAACAGGAAGCAACACATCTATAGCTTCTTCTCCTCCTTCTCAGGAGCCGTCACCGGTGCCGAGTCCTCCTCGCCGGCGGTCATGTCGTCATCACTGATGACACCGCCAGCAGGCGCCTCCTGCTTCGGCGACGCCTGAGCCTGAGCCGCCTGCGCCCTCAACATCTCGAGCATGTGCGCCGCCTCAGCGGCATACTTGCACTTCATCCTGATCTGCCCGCCGTACTTCCAGAACAGGTAGGGGAAAGGCATGCAGCCCAGCGCCAGGAAGGCGGGGATGCTGCTCGCCCAGTGCAGGCCGAGGTTTTTGTACATGTACGTCGTGAACAGCGGGAAGGCGGCGCCGAAGAGGGACCGGAGCACCGCGTTGGCCGCTAGGACGGAGGCGGCGTAGAGGACGTAGCTGTCGATCAGGTAGTTGAGGAGGGACAGGAAGACGAGGACCAGACCGCCCGCGAAGAAACCCGAGGCGATGATGGGCACCACCCAGTGGACCGATGGCTGGCAGGTCCAGGCGAACCAGAAGAGGCCGATGGGTAGCAGTACGGAGCCGACGATGGCCGGCGGGAGGCGGGCCTCTGGCGGTGCGTTGCCGCCGCATGCGTGGGCTACGCGCTGGTAGCGCTTGTTGTCAAAGGCGGCGTAGACGACTGCTACCATCATGCCGATTGCCACACCGATGAATGCCAGGCCACCGACACCGGCGCTCCAGCCGCGGTACTGCTGGAACACAATCGGGAAGGCAGCGAAGAGCATGTAAAGCGTGCCGTAGATGATGGCGATGTAAATACCGGTCAAGAGAACAATGGGCTCGCGGAACAGGAGGACCCAGGGGCGCTGGAGAGCGACCTTGAACTGCGCCGACATGGTCTTCTTGTTGTGGAAGTCGGCTCTAGAAACGTAGACCTTGCCGGTGATCTTGGATAGCTTGGCGGCGCGCTTGCGGAGGAGGACAGGCGCGTACGTCTCCGGCACAACGGCTGTGACGACGATCCAGACCACACCGGTGAAGATGGCCATGACACCCTCAACCCAACGCCAACCCTCCGTCTCCCCTAGGAAGCCGCCGACGATGGGACCGATGCAGGGGCCGAGAAAGGGGGCGACGGCAAAGACGGCGGCGGCGAGACCACGCTCGTTTGCGTGGAACATGTCGGCGATAACGCCTCCTGAGTTGGTCAGAGGTGACGATCCGAAGGAACCACCGAAGAAGCGGAGGATAATCAAGGTCCAGATGTTCTGTGCGCCGGCAGCGCCGGCATTGAACGCTGTAAGCGCGGCGTAGGTAAGGAAGAAGAGAAGGCGACGGCCGTAGAATTCTGTATTGATGGTTAGTCAATGAGGGGATTGCAAACAGAAAGGGGGAGAAAACATACCACTTAAGGGTGCCCAAAACAGAGGACCGATAGCAAAACCAAGGACGAAAAGTGAGATGCCCAATATAGCAACCTCTGTGCCTATCCCGAAGGTCATCATAACCTCCTTGATACCGCCTGAAAATGCCGTGCTCACGAATGCGACCGCCAAGGTAGCGATAGCCTGGAGAATAGTGATCATCCATTTCTTCCACGCTGGGAACCCTAGGGGGTTGTGCGCGTCCTCGGGTAGAAAGTCAACGATGTAAGGCGACTCGGCCGTTCCATGTCCAGGATATTGGTTGTTGAGAACTGCGTTTGTAATGCCGGCCTGGTCCCAGACCAACTTAAAATGTGATACGTGGTCATGCCTTGGCTTTAGAGCCTCGACATCTCGTTCCATCTCGGGCGCTGCTAGTGTTGATGCAGAAGACGAATGTGGTGCTGTTGAAGCCATGTTGGCATCTAGTCCTGTGGCAACGTATGGCGTCTAAGTAGGGGGTTAAGGCACGAGTGCTTTCAGCCAGTCTCTGACGATCTAATCAACGAAGCGCGCAGGAATGACAGAGTAGGGGTCCCGACTTCATATATACACACGCGGCACCAGCAGGCCGGACAGACTTGTTTTGCCTACTCTCCGGCGGCTCCACCGGCCTCCTCCGTCCTAAGACCCATGACTATCGACAGGCCGGCCGAGAGAGTTATGCAAGGACTTATGAACAAGCCTTGGGTTGCGGATATCTGCCAAGATCGGCGGCTCTGCGTCATGGGTTGCGAGCCTCTGACCGGCTAGACAGCCCGTTTCCGGCACGACGGACGCACCACAGGCCGATGTAGTGCCACGGAAGAGGTGGGTAAGGCTGAAATTGTGCAAGGAGTTCGGGATTCGGTTGAGCTGTCACCACCGTCTACTGCATTGGGAGGACCGGCAAGATTAAGCTAGAAGGATCTGACGTCTGTCGACGCTGACGCTGCCTTACTTACCTTAGTTAGTACTGCCGGGATTGGGCGGGAACAACAAAACATGCCTCGGCTCGGCTTCGAAGACTTCTTCACAATTTCACAATCGGCAGATAAGAAGGAATGACGGAATAGCCCTGACCGAAAGAACGATGACGAACATACGGGATTCGGTTACTCTCGATCACCGTGAGGCCGACACTCGTCGTTCAACGATTTGATTCCCTTATGTCCTCGTGAGAACTTGGTAAGTTTGCATCCGCACCCGTACTGAAGAGCCAGAGAGCGTACAGCTTCACTCCCAGCTAGAGGAATGTGAATAGCGATGGCAGGGATGGGTTAGGCCGAGCAAATTTGTGGACTCAGGGCTGACCGAGGAACATTGGACCCCCACTCGGCGGGTCTGTCAAAAGACGCCCAAACTGTGCTAAGACTTTTCAGGATCACAAGCTCAAGACCACGCACATCCTGAGATCTGACCAATGTTGCATTATCGACTGAAACAGACAGACCATCGATCGATATGGTATGTATTGCGTATTCGGCCCGGAGGATTCTACCCAAGCCAGGCAGCCACATCACTCCCAATGGTTCTTTTATGATGTCACCGAGACACCGACCGGGAATGGGCCGGGGCTTTCGCAGATCGTCCGTAGGGCCAAGCGAGATCCATCCGTTCCACGTGGCGGCGCTCCCGAGCTAGTCTCTGGTAGCTTCCTTATCTTTCGGATCCGATTCCATCTTTGAAGGCTTTTGTTGACCACCACAGCGCCAAATAGCATGTGACACTGTCTTGTTGAGCTTCACAAGTGCCAGCGGCCTCTCATCACGAACACAGCTCAACGCCATCGGATGTGGTGGTCTCCACGCCCCCGAATAGGGATGCGTTGCTGTTAGATGTATTTATTGATGACCGAAGACTCATCACCACGCCTCAGTCTTCGAAGCCGTCCCAACTGTCGTGCTCGTCCTCGTCATCCGCCGAGTCCTGCTCTTCATCATTTTGGGTAGCTTTCCTCGATATTTCAGGCTTGATCGTAGGCATGCCGTTCGAGTCTCTGATTATCCGCCCTTTTTGGTCGCGAAGATACGGTCCGTCACCGTCTTTGCCCCCAAGATGGCCATCTTGGCCGGGGACGATGACGACCTGATCAGAGGACCCGAACATCTCACTAGGCTCAACCGCTTTCTCCCCGGTTGATTTTAAGGTCGGTATTCCCATCAAATCCCTTATGATACGCCCATGATCGTCCCGAAGATACGGACCGTCTCCGTCAACCTGTGTGGTTGGTTCGCGAACAAAGGCGGCAACGAAGAAGCCCATGACACAGTGTTCGTCGTCCTTGTACGCCCGTATGCAAGCATCGGCGACCTCCTGGTTGCCATCGCACGCCTCGAGAGATCCACGGACCGGCCAGTCACGCATCCCTCGAACTTGGTTCTCTCTTTTCAGAATCCTCCAGCCACGTTCTTTTGCGATTTCCGACTCCAGTGCCTTTTGTACAATATTCTCGTTTTCGCCCGCATATAGGGAACAGGTTGAGTATGTGATCTTCTTGGCAGCCGGGAACTTGAAAGCATGGAGCAGAAGAGTCAATTGGAACGACGAAAGAGCCTCGATCCTCGCCTCTAACTCCTTGGCGGAGGAGACCACAGTTGTCTCTCCATCATCGTCAACCATAAGTGTCTTGAGCTGGGCTTCATCGTCTTTCCTTTTTCGCTTCTTTTCTTTGGGCGTCTGGCTCTTGGCCGGTTTGGAACCAGGGATCTCCGGTAGATGTAGCTCCGGCATCTCGTCACGTCCAACAATTCCGCTGCCGGAACAACTAGGGTCGAGCAGCAGAGCTCCAACATGTCGGTACTCTTCAGCGGCGGGGTTCACTTTGAGAAAGTCTTGTCCTTGCCTTATTTTGGTAAAAGAGTCGGATCCGGCAACTTTGACCATCCTCTCAAGTGTCTTTGCTCGCAATTTGTCCTTCTCGAAAGCATATACGGTTCTTGGACTAGCGCTGCGGGACTGTATTATGGCAGCCAGATGTGTCGTCTTATTTCCAGGGGCGGCGCATGTGTCAATGACATCGCCATCTTCGGGCCCGGGATTCA